GTCTCCTCCAACTGCTCTTAAGCTAACAAAGAGCAACCTATTTGTGCCTACACTGAGGTTTCTAATTTTGCAATTATGCCAACGGTGATGTGATTTTTTTCTCTCTCACTGATGGTGCTTTGTAGTTCACCAGGCTGAAGTGTAGATGCTAAGGTTCTTTGGAAAAGTGTCTTAGTGTGGGATGTCTCTGGAGGCCTAGAGAAAACGCTGGCTATGTCATCGTCTTCTTTCATATTTTTCCTTTATCTGCAGCCTCTGTTTATTGCTGCTTTGGCAACCGAGCCCTCACCATTCAGCTCCAGCAAGGGAACAGAAAAAAAAAGATCAGCAACGTGTAGGGGTAACATGGGGTAATAGCAACTGTATGGCAGAATCTGAGGGCTGAAGATTGCTTTCAGCACCCTTGTAATAAAACAGTAATCAACTTTCCAAGCTCAGTCAGTCAGGTCTTTTTTACTGGCCACAAGTTACATGATAGCTAGCAGACAAAGGAAACAAGTCTTTACCTTGAATAGTCTCTGTATGGCATAAGCAGGCAAAATTAGCCTCTGCCCTCCAGTTGCAAGAAATGAGGGAAATGTACTCTCAGCTTGGCTCTCGTAAGCAAGTCACTCCACTACCTCACTTTTGAAGGTCATACCATCCATGGCTGTGGGAAGCAGTCCTTCTCAATGATGTTTTCTTTAAATTTTTTTCTCATGCTAACAGATTTTTCTGGGGAAAATCTCAACTTCTCTCTGCAGCAATAATTTTGCTGCCTTTCTTTCCATACACACTCATAGAGAAAGCTGTGGGGTGAAATTAGCCATGACAGAGAAAGGCTCTTAAGGAATTTGGATAGGTCAGCAGAAGTGGAGAGCCAGGATACACAGAGCAGCAGGACACACATTCTGTAAGGATAAACTGAGATTTGCAGTATTACCCTCTGCTTCTGCTAATACCTGGCCTCCATTTTTTTCAGCTGCAACTTTCTGCCTTGAAGTCATTTGCATTTTTTAATATATGTACAGGATAAAAGCAGGAGCAAAGATTTTTCAATGAGATTTTCTCTAAGGCTGGTATACACCAGCTTCTACATCTGCAAAATCTGGACTGGAAGTAGTAATACCTAAAATGCAGATTTTCGTAACTAAAGGTTCTTCCGGTGAACAAAAAAATTGCCCTACTTTGCCAATTTACCAGGAAATTTCCTTTCTGGTAGAAAAAGGTGTAGCATTTTCTCAATCCATGCATTGTATAAAGTAGACAATGTCATGAACTGCAATTTGGGATACCAAGCTGGTACATCCTGACTGATTCATAGGATCAAAGCATGGTTGAGGTTGGAAGGGATCTTTGGAGGGGACCTGGTCCATCCCGCCCTGCTCAAGGACTATGCTCAGATGGCTTTTGAGTACCTCCAAGGATGGAGACTCCAAAATCAAATGGTTAAATACATTCTAGTTATAAGAAGATACCCAGATCCACTGGACATACCAAAAGACCCATGTTTCATGCTTGCAGATGAAGCCATTACTGATACTGACTACAAAAAACTTGCCCTTGGAATACCGTGATATCCTTTTTAGATTCTATTTTTGGGTATCTCAGAAAAAAAAAGTGGGAGTTGGGGAAGTAAAAGGAGTCAGTCTTTTCTAATGTAGGAAGTAAGCACATTCTTCTGATCAAAATTAATAGAATGGTTTCTAAAGGCACAGTAGGACCACGCAGAAAACAGCTACCTACATAAACATTCCATTTTGAATACTAATATGCTTTGGCATACACAAAAACTGCTCAGTACTTTTCATACTTTAAATATAATTCCTATTGCTAGTACGCGAAATCTCTGTGGAGCCATCCTTGCTTACATAGTTTTATAGAGTGACTAGAGATACACAAAAATGATTTCCCAAAAGGTTTCAAAAACCATTGCTTACATTTAGGGCTCAGTTCAACAAGGAATTATGCTGTGTTAAGGTTTCTTATGGAATTTAGTCATAAAAAGTTCAGACTGTACTAAAAATGAATTAATTATGTGGTGTTGGTATTCACTCAAACCTCCTTTCCTTGTGCACAAATAGCTAACACTATGACCTGAAAGGTGTGCATGACAAAAAGGTGGAAAAGGATATTCTGGGTTCCAAAAACTATGGCATAGTATGTCTATTAAAAAAAGAGCTTTCTCAAATAATTTGTAAGATAATAGAGCTGCCTGCAGCCAGCTGTAACTTGCATTCTGGTCAATTATAGGGATTTATGCAGCTATTTATATTATACTTGTTAAAATAAAGACTTACCACATCAATCTAGGCTACATATGGTACCCATGCAACATACTAAATATGCTCAAAAACAAATCAGCAAGTTTTGCAGCACATACTTGGGGTTTTTCTAGTGCCCTGCCAGGTAAATATTTAAGGTGTAAAAAATGTTTACAGTTAAAAGGATTTTTCTGAGACTTCTTAATATTAACCCAGATCACATGAGATTCTTGAAAGAGCTTACTAAAAACTAGAAAAAAAGTGTTCAGTTAATAAAATATACCACCTGAACTGAAGGCAGTGAAGTCACCAAGACAAGAGATATTTTTCTAACACATTGGTTTCATTTCTGTCACCAAACCCAAAGTTTTCCCCTCACTGCAGCTCTTAGCAGGAATCATTTCTAACCTGTGCATGGAGGGAACTCATCTTCCTCTGAACTGATACTGACTCATATATTTGCTTCATGCTGCCCACATTCTGCTGTTTGGATGTAGATCACAAATATATTTGTTTGAATTGCAGCCTGGCTCCCTTAGCCATGAGAAAAATCTTCAAATGACAAGTACTCTTGTCTACTGAATTGAACCCTTGTCTTCACAGAAATAGGAATGTTAAAAAAAAAAAAAAAGTAAAATTTTTTAGGGGGATAATAATGTTATTTTGCATTGCAAATCAATTTCATACTATTTCATACCAATGTTAAAGGTTAGGAACATCAGATTAGCAATGGCAAATATCCAATACTAGTGCAAGCAACTGCTTGTAAAATACATTTAAAAGGCAACTTTTGAAAAGAAGGAAGCTCTAAATTAAAGGTAAGAATTTTTTTGGGGGGGGTATTTTTACAAACAATTTTTGTTTTAAAGATAGCTGTTGCAAGCAAAAGAATAAAGCTGACTTGCACAACCATGCAATTCTTTAATTTCCCCCCCCTTGTGGTGTATGTTTCCTCTGTTACATACTGAAGACCATTAGAAGGAGTCGACTTAAAGGAGTCAAATGTCATTTCTTAAATAATTTATGTGACAAGAGTTCCTTGAGATGTAGGTTCCTAGGGTTGCTTTAAAAAAAAAAAATCACTTATGGACCTTTACTAGCCAGCTTCTTCTCTATTTGTTTTAAATGGCAGGGAAAAACATAAAAAGCTTAAATACTTGACAAAATACCCAAATCAGAAATCCTGTCACAGGCTGCTAAAACATTTCTTGCATACTTGCAAAATGTGGCTTGCAAGCCTACTTTTGGCAAGAAACTATTTTTGTTTTCAGAAGATTCACCAGATAGCAATTAAAAAAAAAAAAAAAAAAAAAAGGCAAAATACTCACTTTGATGAACTCAATTCTTATTCTTCTATCTATGGTTATGCCCAAATATTGGTGTAAACATAACTTTCTTTGCTCTATGAAATTATTTGAAAGGACTGGTTTACAAAAAAAAAAAAATAAAAGGCCCAGCACTTATTATTTTGTCAGCAAATCTTTGCAAGTATTACATCTGCTTTAGCAACAAAAATATTGCAATAAATCTTCACCTTAAAAAGATTTATGCAACCATCTGTTGGGAAATATGTATTAGCCTGGAGTAAGCATCACTTCATGTATATTTTTTTTCTTACTCTGAGGCTATAAAATTTCAGTTTTCATCATGATGTGAACTCATTTAATTAGACAGAAATTGGAAAGATGTGCAGAACACACATAGGGCTGTTCAGCTAATACATTAATGGTTAGGCTTTAAAGATCTGACTTATGGTGCTCAGGTGCCTCAATCTTGGTGAGCTGCAAAACCAAATCTTTCCCTGTCAGAGTTTCAAGATATTTGCCATTGCTGGCAGGAACAAGGATGGTTGTAATTCATGCAGTGGGCAAGGTCTCTCTTCCATCACATAACCCTTGGCCCCATCAGCGCGAACCCCCTGTCCTCAGTCTTCATAGAGTTCCCAAGTCAACAAGAAATTAAAGAGTTGATGGCTTCTTTTTCCTACTGGGACATCAAACATTTACAGTGACACATATAAGAATATATATTTATATAAATATATAAAATATTTATATAAAATATATAAATAAATACATATACAAAATATGGCATTACTTTCCAGAGAGGTGTTACATTTCACAGTCCACGTTTCCTTATCCAGATTTCATTGTCATATAGAATTTTCCATAAAGTTCAGTAAACAATCAGCCTCAAAAAAAGAATGTTGCCAAAGCCTTCCTTATGTGAAAGCATCACATACCACAACAAAATGAAATCACTTCTCTTCCAATTAAAAAGACATATAACACCATGGAAGACAGCTGGTTTAAATATTTAAATTCAATGGTGCTTAGATGCAGGCAAATAATTTCTACCATAGTCAAATCAAGCAACAATTGTGTGTAGCATAAATGAAGTGCACGTGTCTCAACACTCAGGGCCTACAATCCCCTCATCTTGTCAGCACTGTTTTGAAGAGGAGTGCCTCCTACAGAGTATGTGCTTTGGTAGAATGAACCAAGACAACACAGCATAGATACACTTTTTCAAAATAAATAAGCAATTAGAAAGGCTGGTACTGTAATGGCAATTTTTTTGTCCATGAATATTCTGCATTAGTGTGAGCAGGAAATGAAGGAAATGTAAGCCCTGTTGCACAAACTGAAGCAAAGGACAAAAGAAAGTTTTACCAAGAGTTTCAGTGCAATGGTTATCCTTTTCCAGTGGCATAATTCAGTGATGAGTACATTAAAATTAACAATAAAATAATTAAAAAGAAATTATCTTGGAATTTCTAGTTATATCAAATACACAAAATCTCAAACTCTTCTAGAAACACTTCCTTTGCTCCACAAATTAATTTCTATGATCTAGAATATGTCAGTGTGTATGTATATGGATTTAAATATACTTATAGGTCATTCCATACCCTTACTTTCTCTTTGCATACAGAAGTATACACTAGAATTACCATGTAATATTTGGTATTCACATGTTACATTTAAATAAAGTTTATTAAAAAACAATTATATTAAATACAGACTAACAGAATATTCATAATATTTTTTACAGAAAAAATAGCCATGTCTTTATTTTAGAAATACATTTCTTTAAAAAGTTCTTTGAGATTTTTATAAAACCTTTTACCCGTGAAGACAAGTTTCCCATCAGACCTGTAAAAAAAGCCTTACCTTTAAATCCTTGTAGGGTTTTTTTGTTTGTTTTGTGGTTTTTTCTTTAATACTTTTACAAGCTTAAAATCTATAAATTCTTTAAAATAAAAAAAAACACAACAGTATCTTTCAGGATCAAATTGGTCACAGGCCATTCTTTAAAAAGTAAGTGGAGACTCCCTGAATCCATTCTGAAGTGCCTTTTGTTTTTCTCTCTCTAGGTATCAATAGTGCACATTTACATGGGATTTCATAGCTCCTAAACATCCTATAGGAAGCTCAACGCACGTTGGTGGCAGGGTACAGCTGCCACAGCATCTGCAGAGGCTGCAACTCCCCACCTGCTGCAGAGGCAGAGCTCAATACTTCATGCGCAATGCAGTCCACAGTGTTTGCCCAGCCCTCCATGGTCTCTGTGAGGTCCAGTGGCCACGCCCAGATGCCAAAAGAGCTCGCACCCAGTCCTCATTTGCTTTCCAAGTTATAGCAGTGGACATCTCCTTTTCCCTTCCCATCATACCCGGGAAGTGGCTGTCCATATTTATCCACACACCAGCAATAACCTCTTTTTCGGCCTTTGGACGGGCGACACTGAAACAGAACAGAAGACTTGGTTAGCATAGTTTAGGGTGGGTTTTTTTTTCAGGTTTTAGTGTTATACAACAGGGATTCTAGCTCATTTGATAGATGCACTACCATATCCTGATCGTATCTGACAGAATCAGAGCATTTGTTACCACTACAAAGTACTTCAATAAAATCAAGTTAGACCTCTGGGTCTAACTGCTCCATAATAAAACTGCACTGAGGACTACCAAAAAACAGCCTTATGAAGTACTCCCTTCTATATTTGGCAGCACAGCTGCCCCCTTTGAATACCAGGACTACTTACTACAGTACAGGCTAATGACTGCGATCCATCTTGGAAAAGAAAATTAACAGATATGTTCTACACTAAAGCACAGGTCTGGAAAAGACAACAATTTCAGCAATAAATACCCTTGCATCTGTTTGCAAGGAAATTCAAAACCGTAGCTGATGTTTATTAACAGATATATAATCCTTCCATAATGGAATTATCCTTCAACAACTGTTAGGTGTACCAGAACTTTACATGTATGTTTTCCTATAAATAAAGTTGCATATCTACTAGTGTATAATCTATGACAGCTTTAAGTCAGCTGCTGGTATTACAACAATGCTGACCAACCTGAAACTACCACAGGCAATGACACTGAACCTCTTTAGAAGCAGTAAAAATGCATTATAAAGTTTACTACATATAAGTAAGTAATGTCCCCCCCAAGAAACTAAGAATGGTAAAAACTAGACTAAAGGAGACAAGATGCTACAGGCTGCATTCAGAATGCAACTCTGGATACAGTTACATACTGTGAACCTCTGGGACCTCACAGGCCTTTTACCCGCTCACAAGATACATCTCCAGAATCTCACTAGGTTTGCAATGGTCAGCCTCACTGTCAAGACACAGTGTCCATGTCAGCTCATGTTTTGAGATTTGGTGATGCAGGATTTGCTTCAAATGCAAACAGAGGTGGCTCTTTATTCAGGACATACTGACAAACCACACAGTGACACAAGCATACCTAGTTTCCTGAGGTTTTGTCTGTTGCATTGCCAGTATGAAGGAAGATTGGCTAGACTGAAGCTACTTACATCCCTCAACACTGTCAAGTCTATCGTGCAAGCAGAGCAAGTGTCGCCTTTAAGATCATATTCATAGCAATTCAAGTTTTTAGAGTTCAGGTTGGTAAAAGTCAGATAAACTTGGTCACTACCACTCAACTGCTTATTCTTCAGAGTCTCCAGGAGGGTATGACAGTGGCTCACAACTCTAAGTGCCTTTTCCATGTTCAGGTACACAAGGTATCAAGCTAGAGTTGGGCTTCACATGCTGCTCAAAGTGCCCGATCCTTTCGATGTCTAGGTGACAGGGTGCAATTTTGGACACAACTGTGAATACAGATCACTCCAGGGACAGCATGCACCAACACACTGGCCCGTGAGCATGGAGTAGTGCAGACAGGCATCACTAGGAACTTGTGAAAGAAGGATGTAAGCAGGTCACACATTAGATACAATTTTTTTCAGCAAGTTGTTTATTTTATTTTAGAGTAAATGAAGTAATGTTAATCACCATAATTGCAAATTAATCCACCCTTGTGATATACTATTAATTAGCAAGCCCAATGCAGAAATAATAAAATGCCTTCCCTTCTATGAATTTGCAGTCCTTCTGCATTAGCCCTGTGAAAATGCACAGCAGTAGGATGACAAGATCCAGCTTAAAGTTCATATTAGCTTAGTTTTAGGAGAGGGTGAAGAGGTTCAAACCTACTGAGAGAACAGCTACATTAGCAATTTGCTAAACTAAATTGTTACCTGCATTTCAGTTCTAGTTACCTTTAAGTCATTAAACATAAGTCTTACTACTTATGTTTATTGTCTCAAAAGCTTGACTAGAGCTTACACATAACTCTCCAGGATGTCTATGAATGGCTGCTCCAAGTTCACTGATATCAAGGAAAATTTTCCTTTTATTTTGATGGCGAGTGGACTGGACTCTGGCTTAAGTAATATTAACATTTAACAACTGAAATTCTTCATGCTCAAAACAAAGGAATTAATAAAAAACAGTCTTTGCACAATTTAAATTTTACAGAAAAGGAAACTGAGGCAGCACTTTGTGAGTTGTTTTTCCCAACCAAGCAGGCACAGATAGAGCCCAAAGAGCACAGGGCTTCTGGCTGCCAGCTTGGTGCTCTGGCAACGAAACTACACTTCTGCTAACAATAGTAACATAGCCTCCCCTTTTAGAAGCACTATATGAAGTACGTTACACAACTCTCGCTGATTCATAGGGTTGCATCACTCTCAAAACAAATGATCAATCAAAGTTACCTCATGCTGTTGGAGGCTTTGATTGCTTTTTACGGTTGCACAATTAATTTTCAGAATTAACTGCAAGATGAGGTTAGTCTGCAGAAACACCTTCCCTACTCCTAGTTTGTGTTTTTTACTTCTTCTAGATAACCCATTTGACAAGCAAACCCCTGGATCATTTTACAGCTGAAATAACACTCTATGAAGAACCAATTTATCTTTTCCAATCTGTGATTTCGTACTACCCACTCAGTCATACTGTAAATAGGAAAGCACTTCTGATTCGAAAGTGATGCTTTTATCCTGAAACATCTAGCATGTATTCACTACAGAAGTGGTAGACAGATCATATGGAAAAAAAATATCAAAATATCTGCTCTTCTGAGTTTTGTACTCCACATACATTTCAAGGCTCTGCCCAGCTTTTCTGTATGACTTCATAAGTTCAAAAAGCTGGAAAACTACCCAACTGGTAGAGACAGTAATTACTTATGATAGAAACACCAGCTGCCAGCTTCCATGCCACCTGCCCCTCTCCTTTCCACAAAGAAGTGCCGCAGAGGCATTTGCAGAGCACAGCAAAGCATATGGTATCCCATTAAATTCCTGGTCAACTCAGTGGTCTCCATGGAGCTACAACTGTGGTCTTCAGGAACAGACTGCAAACAGCATTGACATATACCTTAAGCCATTTTGGCTCCTGCCAAGCCTAGCTCTGTTTTCAGTGGGACACTGCCAGCTCACATTTAGGTGAATATCTGGCTACAGTACATAAACATGGGGCAATTCTAGTAATTGCCCCATGAAATAATTCTAATTTCATCAAAACTTTTTTTGCCATGCTTGAGGCAGCAACATGCCTGTATCAACTTATTCCACATAAATATGCCTATATACCATGGTTGAATAGCACAGCCTTACATGTGTGATTTAATAAGACAAAGAATTCTAAGTCATAATAGGTCTGATTTTAAGGAAGTTTATATATAAACACAAGGTGTGAAATATTTTTCATGTTATACCCTAACAGATAAATTTACATTATTAAAATTGTTTCACACATGCAAATGTGTTGTTCTTGAAAAGTCAATTTCTAGATATCCAAAAATGTCATGAAAAATAACTGCTTTCAACTTGACTGGAAGAGCAGGTGACCAGGAAGGCGGAACACGTGAAGTGCATCCTGAATGAGTTTTAATGGTGTCCAGTACGATCATAATTTTGCAGATTCCTACCATCCCACACCTTCTACATTCTCATCCTAGATAGCAGTTCTGACAGTTGTTTCCAGAATTCAAAATGCCTACCTTGCACTAATTTTTCAATGGATTTACCACCTATTTCCTAACCTATCATTCTGCATTTTGTTGTGACAATATAATTCAACTACAGATTGAACGCTGCTAATAATTGCAATGAAGTGAATGAATAAAATAACCTAGCATTCTGTTAATGAGATTAGACACCTGCTCACAGTGTTTAAAATATCAGACCTACACGATGCTTCAAAAGGAAACCAAACAAACACAACTGTCACAATTCCTTGCAGGTAGTTAATTAGGTCTGGACAGGACTCACTTCTCAAACTCATGATTTTTTCTAGGACTTAATTCTATGAGGGTAACTACTATTTGTGGTTTGTATTTTGTTGGTGAGAGAAACAGGCTGCCTCTGTAAGCCTTATCTGTGAAGATCTGTTCCCAGCGTTGATTGAGGTTCATTTCTGGGATCAGCACCCCAACTGAATTTCATGTAGAATATTTACTCATCTGGGTTCCATTTGTGGGCATGCCCTACAAGATCCCAAGTCATCTCAAACTACCATTGAAACTACCTGGGTAAATTGGCACAGTGCTTCACAAGGCTGGCCAAGTATGAAAGTGTCCCTTCATCGTCTATCTTTGCTGACCAGACAGGTTGTTGCACATATTGGAGAAACCTTTCCTAAAGCAGTTTTGAGGAACCTTTCCTAAAGCAGTTTTGAAAGTTTCTAGGTAGGACAGACACTACATAGAGGGTAGAAGTGTGTATTTTCTCTGCACCACTACCTTATTCTCACCTTCCAGGAACTAAGGCTAGGTAAAATTATTATCTGTCTTTCCTATTTCTAACTTTGTATTTCCTTTTTTTCTGCCTTGCTGGAAGAACTATGACTGCACTTTAAAGTACAGTCATCCTCTAAAGTAAGCCACTTTAATATGTGCTTACTATGAGTCTGATTTACTACATACACATGCCAGAGACTGCTTGCAAACCAACACAATTTTGCTGACAAAGCAAAAAGCCTTAGAGTCTGGAGATGAAAGGAAGATCTACTGAACAAAGTAAACAATCTACAGTCCTCTGTAATACCTAGAGAAGGAAAAGGGCTACAGCAGACTTGTATGCCTTGAACACAGTTAAATGATGGGCTGCTCTGGAGCAGCTAAGGAAATGCTTTTATGGCTCTGCATAGCAGTCCAAAGAATTTTCTGAAAAAACTCTGATCAAGATGTGAGTGTTGCTCTCTGCTAGTTTACATGCAGCACAGCAAGATTGACACAGGCTTCTCAAAGCTCCAGGCAACAAGAAGAAACTTCCCCTGCTTGGGAGTTGCCACCACCTGCTTGGGAAAAGCTGGAAAGCATAGACAAGCTCAGCAGCATGCACCAAAGGTCAAACAGTGCTGTCAGTGCTGGACTGATGGCAGAAAGGAAGGCTGGAAATCTCTCCCCTGTTGCAAATGCTCCACCTGACACTGCCAGCTTAATGCAGAGCTCCAGGGAATACCAGAAAGGGAAGACTGTTTCTAAGAAAGCTGGAAGCCAAAAAAATGGAGAGATACCATTCCTAAAATAAGGTTGCCTGGTTGGAGGTTGGCCTCTCATTTCTAACCAATGAACTGCATTAGCGAGCAACAGAGAGTCAACCACTCCTTTGGTTACCAGAGATAGAGAGGCTGACTTGTGTAAACCCAAATGGGAGAGACAAGATTGTCCACAAATAAAATTTGTCCTTGAGAAAAGTCTTAAAAGAAACCTTTGAATTCAGAAAATTTTGGAATTATACCAAGAAACATATTTGGAGGCAGGCCACTAACTAAACACTGGAATTAGATGCAATGTGCACTTTTCCAAGTTCCTGAATGAGCTTCAACGGCAGCACTGAATGGAGAATGCTGCTGTAGCTCAATCTGACACAACTGAAGCATAAATACCCACAGTTTCAGTATGTGTTTCACAAGAAAGGTCACAACCCCAGAACCAGAAAAGGCTGAGAAGCCATCCTTGCTGCAGAGTAACTACTACAAGTATCACTTTCATGATAACATGACTTGGATTTTGGAAGCGATCTGTGTAGCACATAAAGGACAGCTATATACCTTTCTCAAGTTGCTTTTTGTAATATGATCCAGTGCAGTTCTTCTAGGAACTCTCAAGTAGCTATTTACAATTCAAAGCATTGATCTATTGCAGTCATATGGTGACTGCAACATTAGCTCTGTGGGTTATTGCAGAGGCACTGCTTTTTTTAAACCAAAGGGCATTAGTATCTAGGACACCAGTCAACCCATGTGTGATTAAGTACGAAGTTTCTCAAATAAACCTGTTGTCATGACCAACAGAAAATAAAAATACTATCCCCATTTGACAAGGTACAGCACTATTGAGGCAGGTCCTAAAACTGGAAATTAACTAGTTCCTTTACAAAACGATATATAATGCACCTTGCTGACAAGATCCTTCAACAAAGATGTCGAAAAAGTGAAATGCGTTCATTGAAGTAATCAGAACTCTGTACTTACTTGCTTTTTCTTGTAGAACCCCTTCTTGTCACAATTCGGAATATGAAAGCCCCTTGGACTCAAGACATTCAGGATCTTTAGGTGCTTTAAAGTGTCTTCCATTTCTCTACGACATGGACCCTGTTAACAAGCATATTTGAGAAAACACAGGTGAAATTTAATTTTCAAATTCTGTCTTTCACATAAGAGTTGATAAATCTTTAAAGGGCACGAAGCACAAACTCAAACAAATCCATTAAAACAAAGGGATGGCTGGATATGTCAAAAGGCAGACCATTCACAGAAAAATATCTGACTCTCTGCTCTATTCAAGATAAAATGATTTCTGAACATTGAAGGTCCTATGCTATGCTGAGGCATCTAGTGGCATTTCCAGTTGAAATCACAGTCACATATACTCATGGGAAGGCTTAACCAGTATGTCAATCAGTAACATATAACATAACTTAAATTTGGAAAAGCTGGCCTTGCACCAAGTGGGAAAAGAAGAAAGTAGGTCACTGGAAATATACTACTAGATAGGCCTTCCCTAATGACATTTGATTTTTGTGATTCTGCTGGATGTGAAAGCTTAATGAAATAGATTTAATTAAAAACAAGTAGTTTGGCATAATGTGTATGTATATATAAAATTCCTCAACTTTGGGCAATGATTCCCAATTTCAACTGGACCAAATGGATGCAGAAATGCAAAGGACCAGTTGCACACAATAGTCTCATTAGATAAGTATGTCACTTTTTTCCTCATTTTTTTAAGCAGCAAAAGACTGACAACAATGTAGTGAGGATTAACTCTTGGACAATGAGCCAAAAAGAGCTTCCAGAAGCACTTTTAAAAGCACGTCTCAAACACCAACTAATGATTTTTCACTGCAGCCCTTCAGGGTAGGGAGTAAAGAATTATGAACCCCACTTTGCAGTCAGAAAACCAAGAGCAGAGGAGTTCACATTTTGCCAGAAGCCAAGAAAGCAGTCAGTCTCAGCAGTGGGATTAGGATTCAAGAATCACAGCCCACAAACTCTGTGCTTAGCTACACTCTTTCTGGGCATATTACTGACTCAGTCCACAAGCCCACTACCTCAGTGGAAATCCAAGAAAATTTTTTTGCATGGTTTAAAAATCTTTAAGTTGCTGTATTGACACAAAGACTCATCTGGTGCAGTTTTTAATTAGTGAAGTAAAGTAATTTATACTTTCAAGTGGTAATATTAATAGTCTGCTCATATAAAGTGCCTTTTATGTGAGTGTCTGAAAGCATACAGACTCCACAGTTCTACTGGAGATCAAAATGGAGTTTTTTTGGTTAGTAAAGACCTTCTTTGTTGCTTTCACATGTTTTCTTTCTGTATCAATCTCACATGCTCTAAACACACGCTTTAAATTGCTGCTCTTACTGCTCAAACACACTGACTACAAATCAAACACATTCAAAGATTTGGTCCTGAACTGGGATTACAAAAAGATCAACAGCTTTTTTTAAATCATTATTTTCAAGTAAGCTTCCAAAGTCAAACAGACCAGTATCAGAAGCCAACATGCAGACACAGCTAGAAGACCACTTGCTGACAAAGGCCTCCTGTCCCTGACAGACTTATTTCAAGTTTTTACAGACACCAGCAGCATTGGTGAGCTGGTGTACCTTTGCTCATGGGACCCAACCATCAAGTACAAAAATACTTACATACTCAGTCTCTTGTTTGGATTCAGAAGAAAAATTCAGTGTATCTGTACTCTGCGAATCGTATTCCACTTTATAGCGCTGTGTATCTTTGGCTTGCACTTTCCTGATGATATCTATTTTGATATGTGGTGGATGCAACTTGGAATCTGGCACTCTGTGAGAGTTTGGAACGGCCTGATTTTCTGTGCTGCTGGTACTCTGGTCTTCTTCTGAATCACTAGAATTTCCTTCAAAAAGAACAAATGCAGAAGAAACAATGTTAATCAACCGCCAGCTGCATCTGCAAGAGCATAGAATCATAGGACATCCTGAGTTGGAAGAGACCAACAAGGATCATCAAGTCCAGTTCCTGGTCCCACACACCACAGAGCCAAGAATTACACCTTGTGCATGAGAGTATTGTCTGAATGCTTCTTGAACTCTGGGAGGCTTGGCGCTATGACCACTTCCCTGGGGAGCCCAACTACCCTCTGGGTTAAGAACCTTTTCCTGATATCCAACTCAAATCTCCCTTGACTTTCATGTCATTCCCTCAGTTCCTATCACTGGTCAGAGGGGAAAGAAGAGCTTGGTGCCTACCCCTCCCCTTCCACTTGGGAGGAAGCTGCAGACCAAGATGAGGTCTCCCCTCAATTAATGAGACACTAAATTAGTCTAAAATGCTTAATTTTCCTTTTTACAAAATAGTAATATACCAAAAGATGAACAATGTAGCATTCCACATGCATCAGCATCTTTGTTACGAAAGTGATGACTTTTGTAACTGAAGCACCCTGATGCTCAGAGCGGCCTCACAAGGTGCCTCACTCCCCCACCCGTGCAGGCTGTCTGTCCCCAACACCTGGAAAGCAGCCAGCGCCACTGCCCCTCGGCCCTCGCTGCATTCCCGCGCGCCGACAGCAGGGGGCAGGCCCGCGCCGCCGGAGCCCAGCCCGCCGCAGCCCCACCGGCGCCGGGGCGCGGATCCTTCCCCTCCGCCACCGCTGACTTCATCAACCCCAGCTAAACGCGGCCGGCTCCGGGCACTTAGGGGCTGCGGTGCGGCTCTGCCTTCCCCAGGGCCGTCATTTTTTTTTTTTTTTTTAAAGAGACGTTAATTCAATCAGCTCCACCGCGCTGAGTCTCCTGGTTCTAATTAGCCACTTCTAACACTGTTCCCCCCCCCCCGTCTTAACTTTATTCAACGCATAGATCAGGAAAGAAAAAGAACAGCATGCTTTCATTCTTCTGCTGTAAAAATCAAAAGTGTACAAAACATACTTTAAAGATAATGGACAAAAAATTGCCATTCATTTGGTAAAGGTGTCAAAGGACAAACATTGTTTTCACCTCAAGCTTCAAAAACATTTTTTCTTTCAACTACCATCGAGAAGACATCAGGAGAAACACATTTTTCTAACATACTCCCTAAGTCCAGTATTCCTGTCCCTTCTGAGATATTTGTCTATGTGCATTTTTAAGGAAATCCTATTGGGAATGCACAATGACTGATGTGTTAACATCACGATAGCACCCAATATTAAAATTATATTTGATGATTTACTGAAAAGACACAAAAGCTGAGAAATTCAGTGCTAAACCTGAAAGTCCATGATCACATAGTTCATTTGATGCTAAATATTTCAACACAGGCCCTGCCAATGCACAGGAATGGGGGAAGGAACATGAGAGGAATAGGGATCTATGTTAACATTTTGGTAACAGTGGTTTTAGTGTAGCCACGGCTGGCAATTGACATAATTGACTAGGAAAATCCAAATCGTAGTGCCAATGGATTAAGGAAGTTTAAGTCTTAAGTCTAAATTTCCTGGCTTTTGTGGGTTTAACTCAGACTCTCAGTGGTATTTGAACATATTTTTGGTGGTTTAATGTCCTGTTTTGAAACAGTGGTATTTCCCCCACACATTCTCAATGAAATTTGCAAGAAATGAGTCAATAAAATGTTATAAACATGAATCTAGGTCTTCTGCAATCAGTTCAGTTTACTAGTTTCCCTCTTCTACCAAAAAATACACAGAAAATGTTCTTAATGTGCATTGAATATCCATGACTATGGCAGGTCATTTCAGTTTACACAGGCCATCATATTTCAACAGCACTTCTTACATTTCAATTTCAAATGGTCATACTGCCACATTTTAAACTGTAAAGCATATTTGACTAACTCAGTTTCACAAAACTTGGTGCTGTTGGGGTTGGTTTTATATCTGTAAAGGGCATAATCACGGTGGTTAAAACAACATGTATTATAAGTGATTTTTAGGTGTGATATTAACCTCGAGCTGCAGCTGCAAGTATCACCATGTAGCAAGTGGTTGCCATGGACGTCGAGCCCAAGAGCAGGTGTCAGCCACTATTGGACAATTCGTGGAGCCACAGCAGCTCGACCAATCCCTGTTATTCCCTGTTGTTATGTTATCCCTGCATACATATGTATGTTCTCCCTATGTTTATGCATTACACTGTACCCAATCCAAGTTGGAGGATTAGCATGCTCCTCCCATTCTCCTCCCACATTCCTGAACCTTCCTTCCCCAACCCTATATAAACCCTCCATTTTCTGTTAATAAAGATTCAGCCTCGTTGTTACCCTTACACTGAGCTAGCAGGTTGTCGTTCATTTTCTCCTATAATTCCAACAAGTGGCGCCGCAACCTGGGGCTACAACGAACCCTACGGCTGGATCGCTCCTTTTCCATTCTTCAAAGCCGTGCTTAATGGAGCCCAAACCTGGGGCTGGCTTGTAGATTTTACGTTTTAGTACAAATCTACACCGCTCAAAGAGGGCAAATAACTGCAGGGGTGTAGAAGAGACCCTGCAGCTCCGGCGGCTTCCCAGGGCGAGACTGACCTTCGTGTCCCCTCACCGCCTTCGCTGGACGTCGGACGGGAGAGGTGAGCGCCCTGGGCATTCCCTACCTTCCTACCCCATCTCCAAACCCCCTACTAAAATAGAAAAATACATAAAAATAGAAAAATTCTTACAAAAACTAAAAATATAAAAACAGAAAAGGCAACTATGGGAGCCTCCCTTTCACGGGAAGAATACAAAACATATTACCATCTGAAAACTTTGCTTAAAAGATCTGATTATTCGGTGGATAAAAGCTCCCTGAAATTTCTAGTTAAATGGATCCACAAAAACATCGATCCTATCCCAGAACTGTTAACGTACCTGGAATGGGCAAAAATAGGATCTGCGATTACCAGCGCTATATTTAATGGGGACAGTCAAGTGGTCAAAGCCCTTAAAGCGTGGAGTACAATCTTTATGATATTCAAAGACACGCTGAAACAAAATCCTTTGGCAAAAGAAATTTCGGAACTAATGACATCAACACTCCAAAATCAGAAGGATAAAAATGACTGTTCTCCAAGTATTAACATCGATACTGGCAATAATCTGCGAATTTACAACGGCAATTCGGCTAAAAACAATCCACCTCAAAATGGCGACAGACTTGATTTTCTATCTGCGTCACCATCTCCTTCCTTACCACCTAATATGGGGGGGGATGACTCCTCAAGGGCAGAGGGACAAAATGGCGACGATGAAGGCAGCGCGCGAAACTTTCGCGGGCAAAAGGAGGGAAGAAAGGGCGGTGTTAATCAACACCCGCGAGAAGCAGTATCTCCGCCCAGCATTACATCACCTACCACGTCACCTTCACCCTCCTCCATGCCTGAGGTCACCTGTACCACCCCGGAAGTTTCTCAACTTCAAGATGGCGGCAATCATACTTCCGCCTCTCGGGACAACAACATCCGGGAAGATGGCGCTGCCCATCTACCGGTAACCGAACGGGTCCGGATCCTCTTGCCCCATGGACGCATCGCCTATGTGCCGTTTAACAACTACCCTATTCGCAGACGGAGACACCTTCGCAGACCTTTACCACAAAATCCTTGCCCAGTTACACTCTAGGATGAAAACAACAAAGGAGACTTTTATCTTTTTCATGTGTTTTCTCTTATAATTTAACTTTACCTTTTCAATATGTTTTCTTTTGTAATTTAACTTTTAAAGTATGTTAATATTTATGTAATTTATAATGTTATTTTACATTTATTATTAGTTTAACAATCTTTATAGTATAATAAAGACTTCTTTCCCTATTTCCCCATTCCTAAACTGGGAATAATAAGCTACCCTGCTTAAAACTCCTCACCCCGTCAATAATAAGCTGCTCTGGAGGCAATGAGTTGCCCCAGAGTAATGAACCTCCTTTATGGAGTGCCCCTTCCTTATTTTCTTTGCAGGGTAAAGTAAGCCTCTGTACAGAGGTTCCCCATCTACCTGACTGACGGCGCCGTCGATGGGCTGCCGCGGGGTAGAGAAAGCCTCTACACGGTGGTTCCCCTTTCCTTCTCCCTCTTCCCTATATCCCTCCAACTCTAAGAAGAAGTCTCTATTATTACCTCACTTGAAAATTTCTCTTTTAAAAATGTTAGTTTATTATTGATGCCTTTTTAAGCTTTTTAATTCTTACAATTGTTTTTACATTTACCTGTGCTTATACTTATATTTTATTAATGTTGTCTCCATTGAGTCATTTTTATACAGGGAGTAAAACAACATCCAGCATTTAAGAACAAACAAAAATCCACATTTTGATGATGGTAATCTACACAACTCATATTATTCTTTATTCGTGTATATTCAATTACTTACTTCTTGTGTAATATTTTCATCATTTTCATATAAAATTTCGTCTCCAATTTTATTCTTTATGTTTACATTTAAAACACGTCATTTCTTTTCTGTTTCATACTTTATACCTACTTCAACTTGTTAATTTACTAATCTTTTCATTTCACACTTCACTCCCTCTTGTTGATAGGAGAGAGGAGAGTACAAAATATGGACGTGTCCATATTGACTCTGTTACCCAAGTTTCTGTTTTCCCCAGTTACCAAAAGTTTCATGTTAAACACCAAAAATCACGATAAATACACTCCACCATACAAACATCATCATTATTATTTATCCTCCCTTATAAAACAACATCAATTAAAATTAATTGTAACACCTTTGAAATCAACCCTATCATAACACCATTTAAGAATTTGGGTTTAATTCCTGTTTATCCCTTAATTTCTATTACTGTCATTATCCCATATAACTTTCCCTCTTATTTACTAATTAATTCTTCTTATGTACTATCATCATTTAATCGTAGAAATTTTTAATTACAAAATTGTAAACACATATATGTTTTATATGTTTTTAATCTAATTTCCAGACATATTACTTTGTAAAATCCCTGTATTTTCTTTTTGGGTTTAATTGATGTATTTCTTCTACTGTGAATTGTAATTATCCCTTCTTCTCTTTACTATTACCATTAATTATCATTTATATGAAACATTTCTTTTAATTTAAGTTATAAAACAAAAAAGGGTGAAATGTTGGGGTTGGTTTTATATCTGTAAAGGGCATAATCACGGTGGTTAAAACAACATGTATTATAAGTGATTTTTAGGTGTGATATTAACCTCGAGCTGCAGCTGCAAGTATCACCATGTAGCAAGTGGTTACCATGGACGTCGAGCCCAAGAGCGAGTGTCAGCTACTATTGGACAATTCATGGAGCCACAGCAGCTCGACCAATCCCTGTTATTCCCTGTTGTTATGTTACCCCTGCATACATATGTATGTTCTCCCTATGTTTATGCATTACCCTATACCCAATCCCAGTTGGAGGATTAGCATGCTCCTCCCATTCTCCTCCCACATTCCTGAACCTTCCTTCCACAACCCTATATAAACCCTCTATTTTCTGTTAATAAAGATTCAGCCTCGTTGTTACCCTTATACTGAGCTAGCAGGTTGTCGTTCATTTTCTCCCATAACTCCAACAGGTGCCATGCTAGCTTTAGAGAAACAAAACTGCTATGATAGTTACCCGCTCTTTTTTTAAAACAGATTAGAAGGGTTGCACATGCACACTACTACTTAACACTTTCACGCCCAAAAAAACCAACTGGAAAGTCAGTGGCCCACTACAGTGCTACTGTAGTGTACTCCACCCCATACTAATTTCCAGCAATTTCTGTGAACTAGTAATGACCAACAGTATAGCACACGATGCAGGACCTAGCTGTGTGTAAAGGAGATGATGTGATCCTGCTCAGAGAGGGTGTGTACCACAGAGTGTTGTATTTAGAGCTGGGAATGGAGCAGTACCCTTAAGGACGTAGGCACTACATGTCACAGGTTTGCGGTACTTCTTCCTTCTTGCACACCAGGTTTGCAACTACTTGAATGTGAACTGTAAGAGACCTACTCTGCACTTTTGAAGGAATCAAAGCTCCTGTTGATTTCAAAATCGGAGCTCTCCCTCAGCCAAGAATGCAGATTGAGAAATTTAGCTGAAAATGGAAAGATTTTCAGCAAAGCGCATCTGTCTTCCCCTTTCTAGATCTCTAACAGTCCTGTTAAAAGCACTACAGCATCAACTCTAAAGTATCAAGGAGATGCCCCCTTGTTTCCAGTGTCACTCCAAGGATAAGTAAGAAGAGCCAAGCTCATGAGATGAAGGAAGCTGCTCAATGTTTCAAGGAGATTTAAAACTTCAGTGAATACCTCTAAACTCTCATTTAAATTGTCACATCTTGGGAGCAGCATATATTAATTATAGTAAGGCTTTGCCTATTCTTCCAGAAGCCAGTTAACTTGAGCACTGGTGCCACTTCCTCAGCTAAGGAAAGGCTAGTGAAAGAAGCCGTGCAACCTAGCAGAAAATCTCCTGGCTTTTTAAAAATGCAAATAGTGGAAAGCCTTTTGACACACTCTTCTATTAAATAAATGTTCACAAACCTGCTGTTGGGTTGCAAACAGTTTAATTAAATGTTTGCATAGAGGGACTGTGCTTTCTTGATCTGAATCCCAAGTTTCCCTGTCTTAAATTTCCAAACGTGCATGCTAACAGAGTTTTTTCCAACCGTCCCTTCCTCTTCAAACGAAACAAAACCCACTCAGTGAACGTCTCATTTACAAGACATGGAAGAGGTACGGGAAAGCTTTGTTTGACCAAAGATTTATTTGCAGTGCAGGCAAAAAACAAACGTCCTCTTAAATACTGCTGTGCAAACGCTTTGTTCTGAATAACCACCTTTCCAGGCCAAAGGGATATTTAACTCTTGCGGTTTTTTTCTTCCCCTTTTTTTCCTCTTTGTGCTTAGACTTCCCTGACTTACCCACGCTGCAGCTCGGGAGTTAGAGACCAATCTCTCGAGTTTTTGTACACCCTCTTTCCAGGAACACCGGGTACAAACGGCGAGGACTTCACCCTCTCTCTCATCCAGGGTCTGTAGCCTGGCAGTCCCACGCACCCGCAGAAGTAACATGCAATCCCTCCCCCACTCCCCTCCTCCTTTTTTTTTAGAATAAGAAAAGGCAACTCTGCCTCTTTTACGAGGAGCTACTTCTCAGCATCGATATCGAAGAAAACTTATATATACAAAAATAAGGCGGAAGAAGTAAATTGTCCTTTCCTTCGGTCAAAGCACACCTCCTCCAAAACGATCCCAGGCTCGGCTACGTGGCTGCCGTCGGAGCCCCCCGCCCGCGGACCGGCGGGCAGCGAGCGAGGGCCCTTTCCGGAGACAGAGCTCCGCTGCGAGCTCGCCCGCGCCTCCCCGCCCCTGCTGCGGGCAGCTCTCTTTGTAACTTAAAACGAATCGAAAATAAAAAAAAGGCAAGAAAGAAAGTAGCGAAGAGGAGTGAGAGCAGCGCGCAAGCAAGCCACCCCTTCTCCCCTTACCTGCAGCGTGCGGTCCCGGCAGCAGGAAGGCCCGCAGCTTGCCGCCCGCCGTCGCGTTGGTGCAAAGCCCGCGGCCCTCCAGCAGCGCCTGCAGCGGCCGCGCCTCCTCCGGCCGCGGCTGGCAGCTGAGCCCCGCGCCGCAGCGCTCCGTGTAGATGCCGCAGGGCTGCCCGGGGCGCAGGGCGCAGGTGAGGCAGCAGCCGCAGCCCGGCTCCCGTACCCGCTCGGCGCAGTCGGGCTGCAGGGGCTTGCACTGCTGCAGCGCCCGCGCGTCGCAGGGCTCGCAACGGACCACCGGCCCCGCCAGCGCCGCCGCCGCCCGCCGCACCAGCAGCGCCAGCGCCGCCGCCGCCACTGCCCACAGCACGCCGGGCCGCGGCACCATGGCAACCGGCGGAGGGAGCCGCCGGGAGCCGCCCCCGCGCACCGCGGCCGGGAGAGGGACGGGCAGAGCCCTCTGTGGGTGCGCACGGGCGGAGGGAGCGAAGTGGAGCAATGCGAGCGGGGAGCGGAACCGCCGGCCGCTCGCAGCCCTGCCGGAGCGAGGAGCCGCTGCCGGCACTCGCACGCTGGCCTTCCCTGCAGTCGCTTGCCCTCAGTCACATAAAGGCAGCAAGGGCTCGCTAGCAACAAAGACAGCTTTTTCCTTCTCTTCTCCCCCCTCCTGCCTGCAGAGCGCCTGAATTACTTGGCTCGACAGTAACTTTTCTTTTTTTGCCATACACACAACACTCGGGGGAAAAAAAAAAAAAAAAAAGGCAGCTTTGCAAAAGTTAAAAGAAAAAAAAAAATCAAAAGCCAAGTCCAGACGGTCAGAAGAAAACTTGGTCCAAAAGTGTTTTAGGGGGGAAAAAAAAAAAAAAAAAAAAAAAAGGAGAAAGTACGGAGGGGAGGAAAAATAATGGGGAGGGGGAAGAAAAATCGAAGTTCCCTTGGGTTTATTTCCCGTGCCGCCTGCCTGCCTGCCAGCCGCTTCGCTCCCCGCCTCTCAGCGCCCGGCTGTGTCCCCCGCCACTCGCTTGCCCGTCTCTATATAGCGCCGGTCCCCGGCCCGCCCCACGCCGCGAACAACGCGCAGGGAGTGCCGGCAATCGCCGGATCCAGGGCTCGGTCACGCTAGGCTGGGAGGGCGGTGCGGGGCGGGGGGAGTGGGCTGGCGACGCGGCGCTGACGGGGGTTTACGGGCTCTTCTTAGAAGTCAGCTGTGCGGGGTACGGCTCTGGCAAGAGGAACACGTCTTGTGCCTTTTGTTTCAAGAAAAAGTGCTGCCGTGCGTGTGCGCGTCCCCGTGTCCGTGTGCGTTTCCTTGGCACCAGGAGAGGAGAGCAAAGCTCGCGGAGAGTGCCCTTTTTTGGACTCCTGGCTACAATCCTGGCCGCTTTGGGGCTAAGAGCCCCGTCCACGGAGAAGGCGTGCCTTTGCTAGCGCTCGCACACGCACACATCCGCACGCACACACCCGCACGCACACAGGTTCGGGGCCTAATTTGGGACCGGCTTGCAGCTCACATGACACCTGCGTTTCCTTAGGTAGATGGGGGAAATGTATGTGCATGCGCTCACCTGCACACCCATACACTCACATTTCCCCAGATGTTGCTCTCTGGCCCAGGACTTGGTTCGTTTCATAATGGATGTACCTCCCTTAACTGCCTTTTTAAAGAGTTTTCTGAACTCTTACAAACTTTTCCTTTAGTCTATAAGAAAACAGTTTCTATTGCAACATCCTCTCAAACCCAGAAAAAAAAAAGCGCCAAACAATCCCCCCCCCCCCAAAAAAAAACCATCATTGAAACTCTACATGGATTTTGCATAATGCATGCATTTGCATTCAGTTTTTGACCACTGCAAATTCTGCTCCCATTCTGCTAGGCATATTCTGCTCCCTATTAACTTGGCTTAACAATGATTAAGAAAATCTGAATTGGCAGTGCCAACATCCTTTCTGAAGCTCTCCTGCAATCTCATGAGGAAGAGGATGGTGAGCTAAATGCATAGACATATATAATGGCATTCCAGCCAGAGAAGCCTGCTCCTTGTGAAAAATAAAACCAATAATGCTCACAGATACTGGTTTATACAAATATCTTCTGCTGTGGGAATGAATGTTCTGCTTTCAACCCCTTCATCATTAACACTGGAATTCACCTTCCAGTAATTCATCAGCTGTTCATGTGCTAAAATTCAAGTGGAAGAGAGAAGTATATATGTTATTGCTCAAGTACTGGCCATGATGCTGTGAATCTTGAAAACTGCACTTTTTACAAATCATATATTTTTAGATAATTAGAATCAGCTATTCCATTTGTTTTCTCTTTTTTTTATTCAGTGCTTGCACCTTTCAAATACCATCTTGAAAGGAGCACTGTACATAGCAGGATAGAAAATATCTGGTATTTTATTTACACCATATTATTTATGAATAATATGGTGTAAGAGTAGACACTTTTCCCCAGGAATTAAAGAAGAGAGATCAGCCTTGCTTAATGCCCGGATGGGTGGCTGTACCAAGGCTTTTAAGTCTTCTTTTGTCCTCCTGCTCGTTTTATTAATTGACCAAAAGAGGTCGCAGGTTGTCCAGGATTGAATTACAGACTCACTGTCTTGCGAGCCCATCTACAAAGAGAGAATTGATCAAGCACAATATACTACTACATGTTCGGTTTCAGGATGAGGTTTTTGTTCATTTTTGGGGGGTTTTGTTTGGGGTTGGTGGTGTTTTGGTTTCCTCAGACTATTGCAGGCACACTTGCTGTTATTTTTTATTTTACTTTGGTTTTAAAAACTGTTTCTAGGTAATGAAGTCCAAAAATCTTTGGGATTGTCTGGCAGTGTGTATCAGGAGAACTCAGATTAGGTCTAGCAGAAAGAGAAGGCCTTCTTCCTTTCACACTGCATGTATAGAGGTATCTTTTCAGTTGGATGAGCTTTTATAGCATGGTGCTTTCAAAACTGAAACAAAATTGCATGGGAAATGCTGAGAGAAGGTTAGTTAAAGGGGGCAAAGGGAATTAGGGGATGGAAGGAGTGAAAGAGAACATCGTTTTCCTTCACTGCAGTTGTACACCTCTCACACACTTATACCAGCGTAACTTGCATTTCAGAGTGTGTCATGAACATTTTTATCAAGCTGAATTCTGTTTCTCACCATCAGAAAGACATTTTTTTTCTTTCTCTTCTTTCTTTTATAACATTGCACAAGTTGTGGCACACCATTTTGAAGCCCCATTAGTAGAAGGAGATATTTGCAATGTCATGAATTTTTTTTTAAAATACACAATTGGTGAATTTAGTGTATATTTTTAAAAAGTGTTAGGCAAGGTTAATGCAGCATCAGCGCACTTTGAACAAAAAGCATTGCAAAAAAAAATAACACTGAAAAAGATGTAGCTGAATCACCTTTGCAAGTAGAAAACCAGTGATGTGTCAAAGATCAGGTCAGTCTGACAGATTTTGCTAAAAAATTAGCTGTTTCCACTGTCTTAACCAATGGGTACCACATTAAAATACAGTTAAATGAATGACAGAATTTGGTTCCAACAGTACTTGGCAATCAGAAGACAAATACCAATGTATCTGGAAAGCCAGATTAGAAATTTATAAAGAAAAAATACCCTGAAAACCCCAACACACACCTATAGCTAACAGCTGAATTACCCTTACAGCCCAAACTTTAGTAATATCAATCGAACGGTTTTATATGGACAAGACCACGGGCTAAATATGCAAAGTGGCAACGTTTATAAAGCTGTACCAAATCTGAACTTCCACATTTACATTTACATCCTAGAGGCTTTGCAATTTTTCTCCTGTTTATTCACTTTTACTGGGAGGAGAGGGAGAGACAAAAGTCGTATAGGGTTATACTTAACCTCTACAGTCAGTTCTAAACAATGGAAACCTGAAGAGAAACAACTGAAGGGCACTATGCTTCAGAGAATCCCATGTCCTCCTCCCATTTCTCTACAAAGCGAAAGTGTAAATTATGGAAGCACAAAAAGAATGTATTTCCCATTCCACTTCATCCTCCCACTGAAGAGAGTATTCAGCTCTCTTCTCTGGTGCCTTAGCTGAAGTCATACCTTTTGGTACTTTTTTGTGGTGGCTGTGTTTGCTACAGGGACAAGACACAGAAGTAGAGTTGTGGTTGAAGTAGCTCTGCTTTCAGCTGCATGGTCACTTCATGGAGCAATCCTGACTTTTTAATACCCTTGTAACGCATATGGTTATACTACCCAAAATTTAACTGTCAAGAATGTGAGCTTCCCCTATAATACCATTTTAAAACTTGTGATGTTTTGCAACTCTTTTCCTTTTTCAGACAAAAAAAACCCAAACGCAAAACCCAAAAAACCTTCATAGAAATTTAGAGATACATAGCTCATCTTGGGTTGAGGGCTAAATCCATTTGTAAAGCATCCCTTCATTTATGAATCTCTGCTCTTCTTTTTGCAAACCTTGAAGTTTTATGTACAATAAACTTCTGAAGTCAAGAAAAAGTAGGATTTCCTCAATATGTTCGTGCTTTCGGAGGATGTAAAAACATAGTTTAATGAAAATTTCCTGCAAACCTGCTCCTGCTTTGGGGCTAGACATGAACATCTCAGGTGTTTTCTGGTTCTTGAAACTCTGCCAATATGGAGGCTTACAAAGTACAAAATTCTAATGGACTTCTCACAAATGCCACCCTGTGCTGCTTGTCTGAAGATGGCAATCTGAATTCAGTGTGATGAAACAAACCAAATTTGGAAGCAGATAAAATTAGGAAACCCAAGGAGAAATAACAAAAGCTTTGTTGTGAAATCAACTGAATTGAGACCTTTTTTTGATGTCAGAGGCATACATTATGAAAAGACATATATTGATGGTATTACAGAAACAGTTACTCTTCATTAATGGAGATGCCTTGTTAACCATAATTGAGGAATTGAAGAGAGCTGATAAGTTTCCTTTTACAAAGTTTTTATCCAAGGATGCGTTCATCTCTTTTATGTACTAGTTAGACATTATATAGTGTGTCTGTTAATAAAACCTTACTGAATTTAAAGAGAACAGCAGGATTAGAAGGAAGAGGAAATGAAGGAAAAAGTCTAGCTCACAGGACTTCTTTGTAAGAAGAGAAGCTATTGCTACTGGACCAGACATTCTCCACACCCACACTACAGCCAGCAATCTGGGTATTGTGCAAGTTTGAAAATGCAGGTGTCATAAGAGATAAAAGGAGAAATGCTGCTGCTTCAAAGTGTACGGTCTGCTGGAGCTGGATTTACTGTCACACTTAATTTCTGTCTGCAAGTTAAAGAAAAACAAAACAAAAACCCAACTTAATAAAAAAATCATTTCCTACCTTAAAACCTCAGGGAGGTGTTGAAGTGGAAAGATTATGGACTACTGGAAGCAGACTATAGTTAAAATGGGAGTGCATGGAGAACTGACCTTGTTTATGTGTATTTGATTTTGAATGAATACATTATGGTTTAGGTCATTCTATAAATCAGAAGGTCATGAACATACCTCATGTTAAGGGGGATTTACAATTAGGGTCAGAAACACAAAAATTTTTGCAAGTAACTCAGATATACAGATAATACCAGGAAATCCACTTGTATTATTTATCATCAATTCCCACTTTGCTTCAATTTACTTGCCTACTGCACTTCTTGAACTAGGATTTTAGTCTGTTGGAATGCAGCAATCTTCATACTTTCCATTTTATAAACCATTCATAATTTTGAGTAACTCATCTAGTTAATGAAATAATTTTGATGTCCATGGGAATGCTGACAGAGACCAAGTAATAAATAATTTCTGATTAGCAAATCCCTTTTAAAATATCAATTCTAAATGAAAAGTCTCTTTTTTTTTTTCTTTCTTTCTTTTTGTTCCCCTTACAGTGTAGGCCCATTTTTAAAAAGACTTCAGAAATAATACTGTTCTCTTGGACATGCAGGGTATACTTCCAACACAATGTGCCAGTTTGCATATTCTG